AGGCTGCGGTGGCTGGGAGCGGCCACTGCACTCCAGTCTGGGCGAAGAGTGAGACTCCAATTCAAAAAAAAAAAAAAAAATCATTGGAGAATTTTGCTTTTTAAAATTCCTAGGTTTGGAAAGGCCTTTTTCAAATATGACACAAAACTCAGAAGTAGTAAAATAATAATAATTCAACAAATTCTACCCTCACAAAAACCACCCTAAGAAAGGTTAAAAGACAAATGATAGTTTAAGAAAAAAACATATATCGTTCCTTTTTTTTTTTTTTGAGTTGGAGTCTCACTCTGTCGCCCAGACTGGAGTGAAGTGGCCGCTCCCGGCCACCGCAGCCTCGCCTGCTGGGCTCCGGCGATTCTTCCGCCTCTGCCTTCCGAGTAGCCGGAATTACAGCCATGCACTACCATGCCCGGCTGATTTTTTGATTTATTGTAGAGATGAGGTCTCGCTGCCCAGGCAGGTCAGAAAAAAACATATATCGTTCTTATTACAGTTTATACAAAAAGGACAAATGGATTTCACATACCAGTTTTCAGTCTTACTCCTGAAATGCTAATTAAAACCAAACTGTAGTATCTTTGTTATTCATCACATTGACAGTGATGAAACGTTTGATGATCTTCTGGGTAGTAGTATAGGAAAACAGACATTCTTAAACATTGCTAAATAGAGTTTACATTGGTAATTTTTATGGAGAGCAAGTTTGTAATTTTAACAAAATGATATGGAAGACTCTTGAAGGTATATTGTTCAATAAAGAAAAAGCAAGACTGGAATTTTTAACTTAAAGCATATATAATCTTATTTATTTATTTATTTATTTATGTATGTTTTTTTGATTTGGAGTCTCACTCTGTCACCCAGACTGGAGTGCAGTGGACGCTCCCGGCCACCACAGCCTCGACCTGCTGGGCTCCAGCGATCCTTCCACCTCAGCCTTCCGAGTACCCGGAATTACAGGCGCGCGCTTCCACGCCTGGCTAATTTTTTTTTTTTTTTTATTTATTGTAGAGATGAGGTCTCGTCTGCCCAGGTGGGTCTTGAACCTGCGGGCTCAGGCAATCCACTCATCTCAGCCTCCCAAAGGCACAGGATTATAGGCTGAGCCACCGAGCCCGGCTTATAATCTTATTTGCTTGTATAAGTTTATAATATTTATGGCAGAATACAGAAGAAACTGCTAATTTTGTTGCCTTCAAGAAGGAGAATGAAGTGGCCATTGGGACGGCAGGAAAAATACTTTTTTAAAAAAAATTTTGAATCCTTTGAATGTTTTAACTATTCAAAACATTACATTTGAAATATAAAAATAATTATTAAATGTATTGAATTTATATTACTTTTGATTTGTTTAATTTTAAAGATATAGAAAATAACCTTATTACTTTGATGTATATTCCTGAATTTCATTGATGACTTAAAATTTTAAAATATTGGATATTTGTTGATAACATCAAAGTTGTTACTGTTTTGTTTTAATAATCAGATGTTGTAGAAGATGTTAAAGAGGAGTGTCAGAAATATGGACCAGTGGTATCTCTGCTTGTTCCAAAGGAAAATCCTGGCAGAGGACAAGTAAGTGAATGTTTTCATAATTGCAGAATTACTCAGAGGTTGTTAAAAGTCTGTTTTAATTGTTTTAGTTCTGTAGAAAGATGTACACAAAAATTTTGCTAAGAATTATGGATTTTGCATTTTGGATGATTTTTATTTTCTGACTTATGTTTTACTTTTTCTAAAAGTTCTATAATATACTTTCATTTTTTTAATCACTTAAAATTTGTCTTTTAGAAAGTACTAATCTACTTTTGAGCCACTATAAACAGGGATACCAATTGAGTCATGCTAATATATGTCACGTTCAGCTAAAAAAATATTTTAGTCTAATTTTGTTCAAATTAAGTAGTTAGAAAACCGATTAGGTTAGGTTCTGATTGTAATAGAAATTATCAGAGATAGGTTGGGCATGGTGGCTCGCGCCTGTAATTCCAGCACTTTGGGAGGCTGAGGTGAGAGGATTGCCTGGACCCAGGAGTTCAAGACCAGCTGGGGAAACATGGTGAGACCGTGTCTCTATAATAAATCAAAAAATTAGGTGGGCATGGTGGCGTGTGTCTGTAATCCCAGCTGCTTGGAAGGTTGAGGTGGAAGGATTGCCTGAGCCCAGCATGATTGCCTGAGCCCAGCAGGTCGAAGCTGTGGTAGCTGTGAATATGTCACGGCGCGCCAGCCTAGGAAACAGATTGAGACTCTGACTCGAAAATAAAAATAAAGAAACTATCAGAGATAAGTAAAGAAGGAAAATTGCTGAACTGGCAATTCTGTAACCTAATTTCTAATCTCAGCGTGACTAGCTTTGTGATGATTCTTAGTTTCTTCATCATGGACTAAAACTCATAGTAACAGTGTTTTCTTTAGAAGCTTTACAATTCTTAATTAAATTATATGGCAAAATATATAAGAACATCCTTATCTGTTCGAGAAACAGAAGATTGTTTTACTCTCTCTCAAGATTTCCCAGTCTTGGCGTTCTTGACATTTGATGGGAAAACTGTCCTCTGCATTATTGAATGTTTAGCAGTATCCCTGGCTGCAACCCACTAGATCTCTCCCCCACCCCAGTTTTACCAACCAAATACATCTCTAGACACTGCCAGATGTCCTCTGGGGACTGAAATCATCTCTGGTTGTGGATTATTATATCTTATAGTTCAATATTAGGAAAATTCTTGGCAACTGAAAAAAATAAATTTTATTCTACTCTTAGTGAAAAGTTTTTGCCAATCTAGTAATAATAGTGTTTACCTCGTTCAGTATCAGAAGCATATCAAATGTGTTCTTGCTGTTTAGTCATTTAACCGTATTTATTGTGCATCTGTTACATATTCAGCAGAAAGCAATGATCAAAGCAGACAAAAACATATATGGTACTAAATGCTAGGGTGAAAAATAAATTGAGAAAGAAGCTTAAGGAATGCTGGGGTAGGGTGGGTTGCACTTTTATATGGATTACAGAGAAGGAAATACTGAGAAGTTTACATTTAAGTCAAGATTTGAAGAATTGAGGAAGAGACTTCCAGGCAAAAGAAATTGCAAATTCCAGGGCTATGAGTATGCTTGGCATTATTTGAGGAATCCAATGTGGCTGTGGCAGAGTGAGAAAGAAGAATAGTAAGAGATTAGATCAAAGAGAAGGTTAGGGAGCAGATTAAATAGAGTGAGCCCTGGGGGGCTTTTACTCTGAATGAGTAAAAGGTATTGGAAGATTTTGAATGAAGGACTAACATGATCTGACTCAGTATTAACCCCAGTTGGTCAAATCAAATGGAAAAAGAGAAGAGAGAAACAAGAGGAATATTCTCAATAGAGAAGTGTCCAGCTGTAAGATGACATGGAAAAAATGAGTCCTTATTAGTGAGGAAATTTGCTGTAGAAAAGCTTTCACTGTCATTTAAAGGAGAGTGAAAATACCTTTCCATAAGCTTTTGGAATCACAGATATTATTTTGTTTAGGCTATTGAAAATGTCCATTACCTCATTGACAAAGCCAGTCTTCATTTGAATTTTTCAATTCAAATAAACATGATTTTTAAAGAAATTTTGCAAAAAGAACTGAAAACAAATTATGAGTACATCCTATATAGTTACAAAAATAATCAAAATTTATAATATAATTATTAATTCCATAATAAATTATAAAAATCAGGTGCCATTCTTATTAGCATGGTATGTTGTAATGTATACAATTATATGTTATCTGTGAAACAAAGGGTATGATGGAAAGTATGGTATTCCTTCTGTGAGTGCACATCTACTCATTTACTGAACTTTGGTGTGTGGATTTGCGAGCAATTAAGAATCAAGTAAAATCAGAAATGGATTTATTATTTTTATTGGCCATCATCTAAGCTTCCTTTTGTATTAAATGGAGAAGTATGTATTCTATAACTGGTCTAACAGACAACATATACTTTTATCTTTGTAAAAAAATATATAAAATATTAAGTATTTCTAAGTTGAAATAAAATAAGTATTAACCAATTCAAATATAAATTTCATGATAGAGTTTGATCATATAGATTTTATTATATGAATTAAACTTACTCTGGAAGAAAAATTTTATCAATAGCATTTTCCCCATGTAGTTACACTTAAAATAAACATCCTGACTGACTATACTGCTTTGGCCATTTAGAATTGCTTTTATTTCCAGTTAATGACACATTTTAGGAATGGGTTTTAAGATAGCTAACAGGTACCACTTACCTTACATATTTGAGAAGGGCAGTTTTTAGCATTGTGCAGATCTGTACTTTGTCCTCAAGAGCAATGCATAGTTTGAAAGTAGTCATGGGATGGAAGAGAAAAAAATCAGTCTCACCTCTCCATCTTTCAGTATACTGTATATGAATTCAGAAATCCTGTCACGGGCCCCAAATATCCTAGGTCTTTTGTCATACATAACCCTTAACACAGATATTCGCATGGCAGTGAATTACCAGTCATAGGCAAGACATGGGCTATGTTTATCACTGAAGGAGGAGCTTATAAAAAACAGGATTTATATTACGAGTTGTCTCTTCTTTTCATGCCCTAGAAGTTCTGTGAAAATAGCTTTATTTTGTTAAGTGAGAGCAGGGCTCCTATGAAAGGGGAAATGAGAAGGAATAACCTACCAGAACTTGTAGTTAGATCAATTTTAGGAAATGGTACAAATGAAAGTTGAGGATCTAGAAATTGATTTCCTTAAAATGATCTGTTCTTACGTCCCCTTGAAAGTCTCTGAGTACCCTGGGATGCTGGAACACCAATTCAAAGACAATTGACATAATGAATGAGACAAAAGACTGAGGAGGGAGAGGAAGTTCTTTGTGTCATTCATTGGTTTACAGGGTAACTGAGGACAAATCATTTCACCTTCCAGTAACGTTGCTTTAGGTTAACAAAAAGAGCTTAAAAATTATTATGTTATATCCTCTTCCTGCTGGAGTAGGAATTCAGATGTTCTGGAAATGGAAATTATCTAGTTTTAAACTACTTCGTTACTATAGTTATGGTGTGTAGTTTCTACAAATCTTTTAATAGCTATAGTTTCCAGCGGTTTTTTTTTTTTTTACATTATTTTAAAGATGTGGTGTAAAATTCAGGATTAGGGATACAAGTGGTCATTGTACAGGTAAAGTTTGGGCCTCCGTTTGGTCCCCAATTTGCCTGGTTTGCGATCAGGTACCCTTATTGATGTTGTGTCTCTCCCACCCCCACCTTCCTCTCCCCACCGCCACTCCCAGGAGTATCCCGCTACTGCCAGTCCCTTTCTTGTGGTATTATGGTAAAAGTTCAGGGTCTGCTTATGAGTGGGAAAATGTGGTACTCTCTTATTTACTTCTGGGATAGATCACTGAGTATGAGACGCTAAATCCATCCAAGTTGCTAAGTAGTCCATATGTTTGTCCTTCTTTTGGCTATGTAATATTTCATTGTGTATATGTACCACTTTTTTTTTATCAAGTCCAGTTTCGATGGGCAGCACGGTTGGTTCCATGATTTTGCTACTCTGAATAGTGCTGCAATAAACATGCATGTGCAGGTATCTTTTTTTGTAGAATGATTTGCATTCTTGAGTCTTGAGGGTATATTCCCAGTAGGGGAATTGCTGGGTCATAAGGAAGGTCAATGTCTAGTTTTTTTTTTTTGAGTTGGAGTCTCACTCTGTTACCCAGACTGGAGTGCAGTGGCTGCTCCCGGCCACTGCAACCTCA